GATAAGATGAGATAAGAATTTTGACTGAGATTTTCGTTAAAAAATAGTAATATAAATAAATTGTTAAGACAAACAATTTTCCTTCAGTAATGTGTAACAAAATATTGATCAATAAAAAGTTATAGATTAAACACTTCTTGGTCCCTTATATGAGTGGTCAGCTCCTTTTTCTTGATATCATCTTAAAGCTCTCATGATTTTGAACACTTTTTGTTCAACAACTATTCAGAAATTCTTTTTCGTTTCCGAGATATATGCAAAAGAAATATTATGGGCCTTCCCTTTACAGTACCAACCAGACCCAACCTGACACAAAGCAGTCCCAGGGACTGCTTTCTGGGACTGCTAAAGCGGTCCCAGAGCGGTCCCAGAAAGCAGTCCCAGCGGTCCCAGAAAGCAGTCCCAGCAGTCCCAGTGGGCGGGGTTAATTAATTAAATGGGCGGAGCTTACTCAGAAATGAGATTACCAATAAACAATGTTACTATAAAAGGCAGTGGAAATTGATGATGCATTTCTTTCTGAGCAGTAACAACAAATATTTACAATTCTTATGTGACAGTCATTTCTGACCTGTCAGGAAAATTACAGTACATGTAGAGAAACAAATAATAAATATTGAACGAAGAAGACACCTACTAATAATATGATTATTTAAACAAAGTTATGTCATATATTTATTTTTCACCCAAATAAATCAATTTCTTTATTTTCTGTGATTGATATTGGTTTCCATATTTATTTATTTTTTAAAAAATTAAACTTGAATTATTTTTTTTCTATCAGAATTAGTTTAAATAGATTTTATAATTATAGAGCAAGGCCGATTCCATACTATACTCTGAATGTATTTTTCTTACTGGAAAATACTGGGGGTTTTGAAAAATTCTTTGTAAAATTTTGCCGAGTATTATATTTCAGTCATGATTATTTTCACTGACTTGCCAATTTGATTATCGTTAGATTCTCTATGTAACAGAAATCAATAACACTCAGTTTTAAGTGTACATCTAAGTGTACATCTGTACGGCAAAGGAACCCTCAGATTATGTTTAAAATTAATTGATCCCGAAATATATCTATACACATTTATTGAAACAAAGATTTTTTGCAGTTCATAGATTGAAAATAGTGTCATTGTTGACCAGCGTGTTCAGTGATGTGTAACACCGATACCATTCATTGACTTTCTGCTAATCATGAAAGTTGTTACTTGTTCGCATTGCTTATATGTCGGAAGTATGGTAGAATAATTTTACTTCATGGTCATTTAATAAATTAATTATTAGGTTTTATATGAGGGCGGTAAAAAATAGCATGGAATGCGCTTTTTTTAAGCACGGTTTTAGCTTTTTCAATTAAAAAAATCTAGTACAGTATGTCCTTCTGAATATCTTACTGTAATAACATGTTTGTTTTTTTTAAATAGTGCTAATGCAAACTTTGAGTACATAATTTGATAGCATTAATTAATTAAATAGGCCCAGATAATTTTGTTTCAAACACCTGTATTAAAGTTTAATTTAAGGGATAAAAATCATCTCCTGACTTCCCTTTTTAACTACTTAATTTTTCAAAAATTAATTCTAGATGACTACAATGGTGTGAATTAACAGTCCCTGAAGACATATAGTAATTACATGTATATCTATCTCTACTTGTTACATTTTGTAAGAAATCCTTGTTTTTTATTTTTTATCTTAAACATCTCTCTGCTGAAAGTAAACAAAACAACAATAGGGAGACTGCAAATTCAGAATACACAAGGGGGCGGAGCTATCATGTCACTCAGAACCTTTTTTACGCATGAGTGAACAAAGCAGTCCCAGAAAGCAGTCCCAGGGACTGCTGGGTCTGCTTTCTAGAGCAGTCCCATAGCGGCCCCAGAGCAGTCCCAGGGACTGCTTTCTGGGACTGCTTAGGTGTCAGGTTGGGTCTGGTTGGTACTGTGAGTCCTAAATGGGGACATCTAGCAAAAATTGAAAGATTGCATATTATTAAGAATATTATTTTGAACGTCTTTTGTTACAATATTGGTAATCAAAATATTCTTCCTTTTCAAGATTTATTGCGCCAAAGATTATACAATCTGACCCCTAATTATCCCTTATTGCATAAGATATTATGTAAACACGATGTTTCATAGATAAAGAGTGTGAAGATGAACTATTTCGCTTCAGTAATATATTACAAAATATTGATCATTAAATAGTTATTGATTAAAGAATTTTGGCCCCTCTCGGCCCCTATTTTGAGGGGCCAACCCCATTTTCTTCAAACCACTTTAAAGCTCTTATGATTTTGAACACTTTTTCTTCAACAACTATTCAGAAATTCTTCTTCGTTTACAAGATATATGCAAAAGATATATTTATGGGCCAGCCCTTCAACTCCTAAATGGGGACATTTAGCAGAAATTGAAAAGTTACTTACTGTTTAGAACATAATTTTGAACATCTTTTATTCTATATTGCTTATCAAAACATTTCCCACTTTCGAGATATAAAGTGCTAAAGATTTGGCCTTCTGGGCCCCTTATGGCCCCTAATTATGTAACATGTGATGTGAATATTATAATATATAGTTGGAAATTGTTGAGATAAACATTTTTGCTTCAGTAATGAATTGCAAAATATTGATCGTTAAAGAGTTATTGATTAAAGACTTTCGGCCCCTATAAGCCCTTATTTTGAGGGGCAAGTCCCTTTTTCTTGATATCACCTTAAAGCTCTTATGATTTGGAACACTTTTTGTTCAACAACTAGTCAGAAATTCTTTTTCGTTTCCGAGATATATGCAAAAGAAATATTTAGGGGCCGGCCCTTCAACTCCTTAATGGAGACGTTTAGCAAAAATTGAAAGGTTACATATTGTTCAGAACATTATTGTGAACATCTTTTATTCAATATTGGTTAGCAAAATATTTCCCACTTCGAGATATAAAGCGTCAAAGATTTAGTATTTCGGCCCCTCATGACCCCTAATTATGTAACATGTGATGTGAATAACATACTATATACTTGTAGTTTGCTCAGATAAACATTTTTGCTGCAGTAATATTTTTACAAAATATCGATCGTTAAAGAGTTAACGATGAAAGACTTTCGGCCCCTATCGGCCCCGATTTTGAGGGGCCAGCCCCTTTTTCTTGATATCACCTTAAAGCTCTTATAATTTTGAACACATTTTGTTCAACAACTATTCAGAAATTCTTTTTCGTTTCCGAGATATATGCAAAGGAAATATTTAGGGGCCGACCCTTCAACTCCTTAATGGGGATGTTTAGCCAATATTAAAAGGTTGCATATTGTTTAGAACATTATTTTGAACATCTTTTGTTCAATATTGCTTATCAAAATATTTCCCACTTTTGAGATATAAAGCGTCAAAGATTTAGTATTCTGGCCCCTTATGGTCCCTAATTATGTAACATATGATGTGAATATCATTATATATAGTTGTATATTGTTGAGATAAACATCTTTGCTTCAGTAATGTATTACAAAATATTGATCGTTAAAAAGTTATTGTTCAAAGACTTTCGGCCCCTCTCAGCCCTTATTTTGAGGGTCCAGCCCCTTTTTTCTTCATATCACTTTAAAGCTCTCATGATTTTGAACACTTTTTGTTCAAGAACTAGTCAGAAATTCTTTTTCGTTTCCGAGATATTTGCAAAGGAAGTATTTAGGGGCCGGCCCTTCAACTCCTTAATGGGGACCTTTAGCAAAAAATTAAAGGTTGCATATTGTTTAAAACATTATTTTGAACATCTTTTGTTCAATATTGCTTATCAAAATATTTCCCACTTTTGAGATATAAAGCGTCAAAGATTTAACATTCTGGCCCCTTGTGGCCCCTAAGTATGTAACATATGATGTGAATATCATAATATATAGTTGTAAATTGCTGGGATAAACATTTTTGCTTCAGTAATGCATTACAAAATATTGATCGTTAAAGAGTTATTGATTAAAGACCTTCGGCCCCTCTTGGCCCCTAATGTGATGAGTCAGCCCCTTTACCTTGATATCATATGAAAGATCTTGTAATTCTACACAATTTCTGTTCAATATGTTTTAACAAAATACTCATAGTTAAAAAGATATCGTAAGAAATGTCTCTAAAATTCACTCATGATTCGTTTCCTAAATTTCGACCCCTACCGAGCTTCCATACTAGGCACTTCCGGAAAATTTGAAAACCCAGGTGATCAATGGCAACATGTCCTCTATCATCGCTGAAAATTTCAGCACTCTAGCTTTAATCGTTTTTGAGTTCCATCGCAGACAAGGAGGTCCTCTGAATTTTGATTAAAGGGCGATAACTTCCGACCGGAAGTGAATTTCAAAAAAATGAGAAAAACTTACAAGGTTCAGACAAAGATACATCTTCCCTGAAATTTCCAAGTAAATCGATCGAGCCAACTCCGAGAAATCTTCTGCACAAAAATTGTAAAGAAAAAAAAAGAATAATAATAATAATAATAATAAAAGTGAAAAAGAAACAATAGAATAATAGAAGGGTCTTCCGTTGGAGACGGAAGACCCTAATAAAAGTGAAAAAGAAACAATAGAATAATAGAAGGGTCTTCCGTTGGAGACGGAAGACCCTAATAATAAAAGTGAAAAAGAAACAATAGAATAATAGAAGGGTCTTCCGTTGGAGACGGAAGACCCTAATAATAATCTTAACCATCAGAATCAATAGAAGGTCTTCCGTTGTGACGGAAGACCTTAATAATCTTAACCATCAGAATCAGTAGAAGGTCTTCCGCCTGGAGCGGAAGATCTTAATTAAAACGAATATGTACGCGGCATCAAATGCCCAAACAGCTTCTTTCCGGAAAATTGTACATCACATATACAGAGACCTTTATATATATATATATATATATATATATATATATATATATATATATATATATATATATAACATTTATATTTAACTTAAGCATATTAACTATGGGACTTGAAAAGAGGGTAGATGAGAGAGGCAAGCCTACCTTTTTGTTCATTCTTATCGACGCAGTATGCTCTCACATCAGTACGCCCGTCCGTGATCAGAATCGGGTCTCTGTTACAGTTAATGAGACAACACCGTCCAAAAACGTCCTTATTCGCCATGCTCTTGTAAAGTAAATGTTAACACAGACTATTATTATTTAACCAAACATCACTGCCTAAAATAGTTTTCCTTGTCATAGACAAGTCAGCGATTTGAATGACATAAATACTGTGTTTACATCCCTAAGTCCGTAGCGAAGATATGTAATACGTCGCAGGATAAATATAGACCGGGGATTTCTATTGTGTCCTTTTCATTCTCTATCCAGAGTTGTCGTTCCCGCTACCTGTCAACACTCACTATACGAAATTCTTGAAAAATATTGTAAATGATTAAAAGTTGTAATAATAATAATAATAATAATAATAATAATCGTTTTTCATCATATTTCATCGGAAAATAGGATTTATTTTAATCTATTACCCCCTAAAACAATTTTTTAATTAAGTGTTAATTTTTTTCTCTCCGCAAAATAGTTCGAATACCCTAAAAACTTGAAAATAAATCGTTTTGAGGGATGATAGATTTAAAATAAATGAAAAATTATCATCTTTATCGATAATTACTATTCAATTACTATTTTAATTTCAAAATTTTCACTATTTAAAACTTGTACAAGAATCTTGTACAACGAGCGTTGAACAGAGGTGATGGGAGCGTAGCGAAGGCAACTCTTGATAGAGAATGAAATTTTATATGTAGTTGCAATAATCAATATATAACTAGTTTTTATTTCATTGGATAACTTTTTTTCATTGAGATACAGACAGAAGAAAAGCGCAATTCCCCACAAACTTCACAGAACGGGAAACGTCCCCGACTAGAAAACTCGTTTAACCACATGAAATGCTGTGTTATATTTAGATGTCGGGCAGAATGAAAACATAAAATATTACAACATGTATATCAGTGTTAAAATATTGCAATAAGTATCATGCTATTCAACAAAAACATAAACGTTTAGGTATTTTATTTTTCTAAAGCACATTGTTATTTTGCTAAACCGCATCCTGTTGAAATAGGAATATGCAGGTGGGGGGGGGGGGGGGGGGGGCTTTGGTCCATTATTAGAGACCAAAATTTTTTAATATAAATGTCTTAAAAGGAAAAATTTAGAAATTGGAATACCTTTAAAACTTTTTCGGAAAAGAATCCACAACTAATTTCAGGTAACATTATTGACATTAATACTGATCATAGATACAGAAAGTCGCCAAATCGGATCGAAGGAAATAAGTAAATTTTCATAAATTTGTGGGAATCACCATGATTTTTGTTTATTCAACCTAAAAACTTTACACATTTCTGACCCAAGACTGGCTTATTTGAGTTTTTATTGTTCCTTTCATATGCTTCCATATATCAACAAGAGATGTTTGTGAAACGTTATGCCCCCCTCCCCCAATTGAAAAAAAAAAACTTGACCTAGATATTCTTCTGATAAATCTGTATACCAAATTTCAGTTCAGTATGTGCAACCTCTGCAAAGAAAATGAACGGAAACAGCAAATAATTGGAATTTTCTTAAGTCCAAGGGACATAACTCTGTCAAAAATCGCTCGATCGTACCCAAAACAGAACTTGACTTAGATATTCTTATGATAAATCTGTATACTAAATTTCGTTTCAGTACGTGCAACTTCTGCGAAGTTGGTGGACCGACAGACAGCAGCAAAGCAATATGCCCTCCCTTCTTCGAAGGGGGGGGGGGGCATAAAAATGTGTAATGGCTAAAACTAGATTCTGACCCCTTCCGCTGAGCCCCAGGAGAGGATGGAATGGATCATAAGAAGTTTGTATTCTAACAATAATTAAAGTAACACAGCTCTGTCTTTATTCCATCTAATTTTTAGGTCACTTGAGTCCATCGGTGACCCATTGCTATCTTTTTGTCCATCGTCTAATTCTGGTATACAGCATCTTTGGGTAAAGGGGAATAAAAATTGTGAAGATCATGTCCCCTCCCCCATTTGGGATTGATTGATTGTGTGTTGTTTTACGTCCAATTCGAGAATTTTTCACTCATGTAGAAACGTCATCATATACCGGGAAAGGGCTTCAAATTTAGACCTTTACTCGCCTCTCAGGGCCATTGAGCAGTGAGGGATCTCTATCGTGCCAACGCCTGCCGTGACACGGGGCGTCGGTTTTTTAAGGCCTCATCCGAAGAACCCGCAACTTTCACTTCAAAGTGACCGTTCACGGTAGCTCAGTCGGTAGAGCGCTCGCTCCGTGATCGGGAGGTCGTGAGTTCGAATCTCGGCCGCGACAGACCTAAGTCGATAAAAAATAGGTAGCAACTGTTCCTTCGCCATGCGCTCGGCACTATGAAGTGAAAGTTGCGGGTCCTTCGGATGAGACCTTAAAAACCGAGGCCCCGTGTCACGGCAGGCGTTGGCACGATAAAGATCCCTCACTGCTCAATGGCCCTGAGTGCCGAGTAAAGGTCAAAATTTGAAGCCCTTCACCGGTATATGGTGACGTCTCTATATGAGTGAAAAATTCTCGAATGGGACGTAAAACAATATACAATCAACAATCACTTCAAAGTGCCAAGCGCCTGGCGAAGGAACAGTTGCTACCTATTTTTTATCGACTTAGGTCAGTAGCAGCCGAGACTCGAACTCAAGGCCTTCAGATCACTGATCGAGCGCTCGGTAAAGTTTAAAAGCCAAAGAATTTTTCAGGTGATTCCAATAGCTGACTAATACTCGAGAATGAAATTATACATGATTTCAATTTGATAAAAGCAGTATCTCGGTGTCATTAATCAAAATACGTATAAGTATCGCTGTTCGGAATTTGACATCTACCCGGAGTGGTTTTTAGATCATCTAATATGAGGCGGGGCTATCTATCCGCCTCATGTCGACATCTCTCTCTTGAAATTAAAATATGTCTATGATATCAGTTTACAGGTACAACGATGTCAAAATGAAATTAAACAAGCTAATTCATAGAATGAAATACAGTGTATATGGAGATAACGAACAGTATTCGAGCTCAAAAATCCATTAAACATTACAAAATAAGATCAGAGCAAATACGGACCTCTAAGACATCAGAGGTGGGATCAGGTGCCATGGAGGAGTGAGCATCCCCTGCCGACCGGTCACACCCGCCGTGTGCTCCTTGTCATGATCGGGAAATAACGGAAAAATCCGTCGACAATTCCGTGTGTAGATGATGGCCTAACAATTAGTATGAAAAAAGTCAGTCAGCATTTGACTTAATGATATATTGTATTTGCTGACAAGGTCATTTTATCGACCATAGAACTTTCGAAATGATGACTTTAAACGAGACTGCTGATATTCTTGTTTCATCATCTTGTTTGTCAATAACTTATCTCGTTTTACAAGTTGTTCATACGTAGAGCATGCTCTGGCGTATCGAGTCAACTGAGATATAAACCCCGTTTGCAGGTGATAAGGGTATACTGTTGCATAAGTAAGGGGAGTTGACGATTGAAAAGTTAAAGTCATCACGTTTATCATAAAGCTTTGTTGTTACATTACCATTAACGTCTTTTTCTAATAAAATTTCCAAATAGGAAACAGATATGTCAGACTCTGTGGTATCTTTTATCTCAATCAACCGGGATTTATCGCGTCGACATAAGAATGGAAATAACCATTGTAAATGGACAATACGTCGTCGAATTTGTGTCCCCCGCTTAAGGAAAAGAGAAGAGAGGGGAAAAATTTTGCAGACGGAGAAAGAAAAACAGTAAACTTTGACCTTTCAGCTTTTGACCTTCATGTCAAAAGGTTGATTGATTGTATGTTGTTTTACGTCCCACTCGAGAATTTTTCACTCATTTAGAGACGTCGTCACCATATACCGGTGAATGGCTTCAAATTTTGACCTTTACTCGGCACTCAGAGCCATTAGGCAGTGAAAGATCTTTATCATGCCTCGGTTTTTAAGGTCTCATCCGAAGGACCCACAACTTTCACTTCAAAGTGCCGAGTGCATGGCGAAGGAACAGTTGCTACCCATTTTTAGGTCCGTCGCGGACGAGATTCGAACTCACGAACTTCCGATCACGGAGCGAGCGTTCTACCGACTGAGCTACCGTGAACCGTCATGTCAAAAGGAGTCTTTTTAAAGTTGAAGAAATTCATGACCAAATGTTTATTGCAAAAGCTTACAAAAAAACTAAAATTATTATCTGAAAACTAAATATGCAATATATATATTTCTGATCTTGACATTTGATCTCAAAATCAATGGGTTTTTTTAAGTTTATAGGGGGGTTGTGATTATAAAATCTCAAAGGCTTTTTAAGATAGTTTGGAAAAAGTGTTAAACAGACAGAATGAATTTTTGAACTCGACTATTTGACCTCAAAATCGATAGGGGTCTTCTTCATGTCATCGGGAGTTGTGATGTTAAATTTTTTCGAAGAAAGCTCAAAGAAAACATGAGAAGAAAAAAAAAACACGTGCCATGACCTTCAACTCGACATTCGGATATATCGACGACGTTTTATTAATTAACTATAGTTACTTTCTTTCATTTGTTCACTCGATATATCCCAGTTATCTCAAAAGAAGACACCACAGACACTTCCACATCTGTTTCATATTTGGGACGATTTATTGGCTATAGACGATAAGGGCTAACCAACAACTAAACTGTAAGACAAGCGAGATGACTTCAGCTTTCCCATCATCAACTTATTTATGTAGCAATATTCCACTATCACCTGCATAAGGTGTTTACATCTCCCAATTTATTCGATACTCAATTTTTAAACCGAGGCAAGCTAATTACAGAGTTGATGTTACAGGGATTTCAACAACCTCGTTTAAAGCCCGCATTTCTTAAATTTATGGTCGTTATAATGACCTTGTCATTTTCTTGGGGACAAGTTTAAGTGGTTCAGCCGTAGATAATTATTGGTTTTCTATTGTATACTGTATATAGTTGCAAATTTTAAATACTAGTATCTGAAGATCATTATTTCCATTCCATATTTAAATTAAAGTGCGCACCAAATCATTTCTCATCAAAATAATTAAAGCAATATTAGTAATGGATTTGATCCGTGCATCAATTAAGTTGTTGAGCTCAACAATGGATGAAATTATTTTTCGCAATAATGAAGAAATGAAGAGAGCAATTATTAATATTGCAATAAT